ATAATCAGGCTACGACTGAGCTTCACGGTCGCGTCCGGACGTTAGAAACCTTTATTGAACAATCAGTCTAGAAAGAGCTTTGCAGTGTTAGATATTAAAGCTTACAAACCGGTCAGATGGAGGATGGTCTGCCTGTGGTCGCACTCACACCCAGGAAATTATCATTAACTGGTCCTCTTATTTCTGCACTGTTCTCCACTAGAGAACCTCTTACCTGTATGTGCATACGGAAAATTAATAACCCAAACAAATACAAGAAAATTTACGAAAAGAAAAGTTTGGTCACTCGTGAGCAAAGAGCGCAGAGGAGATTTAGTTGACCTTAATTCAAGCCACATTCACCTTCTACGGTACAACTGTGCTGCAAATAGAGCGGATATAATTCGCTGTACGCGATCAACATAAGCGCCCCTCTTGCTCCGCAGTCGCTTCCACGCTCCACGCTCGTTCTCGCGTGGTCGCTTCGCTCTCTCGCTTTTACCCAGAGAAAGGTAACTTAGACTGCTAGCAGTATCTTTCTTTCCCTAGCTTGGGACGCGGATATACGAATGCGAACACAAGAACCGAAAGAAGAACTCTTGAGCGACGAGAGCCGCGTCTCGTTTCTTCCGCATATTTGCAGAACTCAGTAACATTCCCAATAGCAGGAACAAAAACCAAATGCCCGTAGGAGGATCTCCCAGGGGCTTTGCGGAACAAGGGAATATGATCATAGTGCTGGGATTAATTTGAGGGAACAAGGGGTATCTCTACTAGTACTATTAAAAGGTACTTTGACAAAAAAAAAAAAAGAGAGAACAATGGAATTTATTTTAGGAGCGAGGGAGCCTGATAGTGAAATTTTCAAGGGAACATGCTATTCCCATGGGAGGCTGGCTTCCATATGATCGCAGACGATTGCAGACGATCGCGGATCGCAAATCGCAGATTGCAGACGATCGCAAAGAGAGTTGTTTCCATGTAATCGCAGACGATCGCAAACGATCGCAGAGCCGTCTGTTGCATACATTTCGGACAGCGGAACTGTCAAAATTACACGCGCGTTGTGCTGGCGGGAAAATCGAAGCAAACAATATGGCGGACGTCGAGGAGGAAATTTTGCTGCAAGCAAATTTATTTCTTCTTTTAGTCAATATTTTTTGAAATTCCCTTGGCACTGCATCTCGCCCCGATCCAGAAGGTAGCGTTTTAAATCGCTTCAGATAACGACCATACGCAGTTCTTATGTTGCGGAATTTGACCTCCGCCTCAGCCGCTGATAAATTCAAACTCTCCTCGATTTTTTCCCAGCAGTTAGCCTTTTTTGTTTTTGTCTTTGAAATCTTAACTGTTACGGTGGTAAACGCACTCATATCGCACAACTTCCTCCATAAATTTCTCGTTACTAACGTTACCTTGTTCAACGCCAGCCATGTTTACAACAAAGCGGTTGCTTTGTTACTAAGAAGCGTTGAATCATGGGCCGGAATTCAAAATATTACGGGATACGTTTCGATCGCAGATCGCAGAATTTTGATTTCCATATGATCGCACGATCGCAATTGATCGCAGACGATCGCAGACGATCGCAGAAGTGTGTTTCCATATGATCGCGTACTTTTTGCGATCAGCGATCAGCGATCCGCGATCCGCGATCCGCGATCCGCGATCCGCGATCCGCGATCCGCGATCGTCTGTGATCGTATGGAAACCTGTGCCCTGTGTCTTTAGACACTATCTGAGCCCCCTCCCCCCTTTCCCGCCAACCACCCTCCCCCCGATAAGATTTTCCAGTCGGAAGGTCAATTAACATTCAACTAGCTTCAACTGTAACTTCATGCAATCGTATTTCGAAATCATACTTTCATACTCTACCGACAGTTTCAATAGCTCATGTATTTCCAGGTCAGTATTAAAACCTACTTCGATCTGTATTATGTACATGTGATACGATGCTCAAAGCGAGTTCTTTATTTTTTTCCTGAATATTCCTATTTTCCCTGAGACGTATTAATATCTGTCGCTGTTTTATAATGCAAATGAAAAGTTATGACGGTGTTGCTATGAGGAATGTGGATCCGACCGACGTCATTACCATTTCAGAATAATATCAGGAACACCCCCTCGTAAAAGTCCATGTAATAGCAAGACAGGCGGAGAATCTGAACGAAGTTACCGTGTGAAAATGGTGTCAAGATTGCCTATACGAGCCTGGAGATGGTACATGAGATGCCTGGAGACCTATCCATGGAAAACACAACTAATTTCTACAGGTTAGACTTTGACCCGCAACTTTATTCATGCTAATTTTGCAAACTTTTATTCAGTCTTCGAGTCCGCTTAATTTTCAGTCTTAATTTAACAACAGTCAGCAACGTATCTACTGAGCCCAATGCGAACATTTTGTGTGATCGATCAAAATGCTTTTCTTAGCTTCAGTTTTGGTGCAATTTAGCGTACACTATCTGTTTTACAGGTGAACCCCAGTATTTCGAACTCTCAGGTAGAACGAAAAATATTACTTCCAAATAGTGACAGTTCGAAATAGCCGATAGTAAATGAGTGAAGGGCAAATCTAAGGGAAATGGTTTTGAGTTTGAAACGCCGGAGAATTCGAAATAACCGAGTTTGAATTAGCGAGGCTCAGCTGTGTATAAGTTTCCTCCATGGTTCTATCTATAAATATTCAGAGCTATAATTTTCGATCAAGAATATTGCGCGGTAGCGCCATATGTACTCTAAATTGTCCACAACATTCAACACTGCTTCAGGCCAGATTTTTAACTTGATCGTAACTCATTGGTACATGGTGGTTGCCGTGCGATAATCTACTTTTGTTTTGATCTTATGCAAATCAGCTATATGTTCTCTATTTGTTACACTTGACCGGTCCAGTCGCTCTGTAAACTGACATTTCCGACTACAATCCGCGATTTCCATGATGCACATATGTGCCGACGTAGTGATTTTGACTCAATGTAAAACTCGGTATTTTGAGAGATTGAACGATTACATCTCTAGTTTGTTGTTTACACTACTTCGTTATGTAATGTTTTTCAAATATGCATAAATATTGCAGTTAGTCTCTATCCTCAGTGACCAAACAGCAGTCAATTTTTTCACCTGTTGAATCGTTACCTGAGCTATCTCTAAGTTCTTCCAACTAGTATAACGATAAATGGTGAGGACGAGCGAGGAGATTTTGAACGCTGACACGAGGGTTTAGAAAGAGAGGCAGGAGATGCCCGGGGGGGTGGGTACTCCCAGAAAAGTTAGGATGGGGTGTGCGGCCCACGTTCCAAAACCCTTACCCTATTTATGACCAAAATCTGCGATATTCCCTATCCTATTTATGACCAGACCAAAAATTCGAAACCCTATTTATACTCTAATCACCCTGAAACGATTATAAAATATTTTGTAACTAATCTTAATAAACACGAACACAGCATCAGGGGCGGGCATCTCGTTAATTGATACAGCGAGTGTTTACATCATCACCATAAAGGAATTACAGTAGTGAATAAACCATAAAGCAAAGTTGAAAGAGATGCCTTCGAGTGGCTCTTGCATAACTTACAAAATCTTAAATAGCCTAATAGCCCCTAGGGATTCATCATACCTGCAATCACGTCTAATTAAAGTACTTCTACAGTTAACACGAATTATACATGACAGACATATTCCAACGTCATTAGCGAAACGTTACAAAATATATTTATGACCTGATCCTTAAATCAAAACCTGTTTCAGACCTGCGTTATAATTAGTTCCCTAGTTCAGACCAAAGTTATATTACCGTAAACATGATTTGTGAACGCTTTTTGTCGATTTTCTTTTCGATAATGATGAAAAAGTGGCTTTCTCTTAAAAACATACCCATATCAAGGCTAGAGCGCAAAAACCCTTTCCTATTTATGACCAAAACGGCCAAAATCAGCTAACGTCGATAGCCCGTTTATGACCAAAACGGCTAAAAAACCCTACCCTTTGGGGCCGCACATACCTATGTAGCCCATATAAGGGAGTACCCCCGGGAGGAGATGGTGCGCGTTTTGCGATTCTGACTGTGCATTTACAGGCTAGAAGCTATTCAAATAGCCGCGCACTTGCACAATATAATCACAATTTGGTCTGGATTTATTTGCAGGGGCTCTTCTCGGAGCAGGAGATTTTATTGCACAACAGTACGTGGAAAAAGTCCCACTGCGAGAACACGACGTGGTGAGGACAGCTCGCATGGCAGCCATAGGTACTGTAGTGATTGGTCCAATTTTCCACGTGTGGTACTCGACACTCGACAAGCGGTTTGTGCATAAAAGTCCAGGAAACGCCATGAGAAAAATGACAGTTGATCAGAGCATTTTAGCGCCGGTGTTTCTCGTTCTATTTTACGGAGCTGTTGGAATTGTCGAGCGTCGGACGATCAAACAGATCAGCGACAAGATTTACGAGGAATTTTATCCAAACATGGTCGTGAACTACAAGGTCTGGCCTGCTGTACAGTTCTTAAATTTCTACTTGTTTCCAGCTCACCTCCGAGTGCTGGTTGTTAATGTCGTGTCATTGTTTTGGAATACTTATCTGGCGTGGACTTCACATAAGGAACTGGGACATTCTGCGGAGTAGTTGACAACGGTTAATAACTGTAGGTATCAACCCTCCCGGGGCCCTCATTCCCCTGGATTTCGGAAAACTGCGGGAGCCGAGTGTAAGCGTGAACGCGTGTATAAACGGAAGACAACAAACCCACTAGTGGTTTATCGTTAAAAACACCTAACAAGATCTTCTTGAGAAATGACAAAGGCTGATTAAACGATTACGTGGGTGAAAATTCATTGTAATAGGAAAAAATTTGAAAATTTGATTTCTTTGAAAATTTGCAAAATTGCGTCAAAACTCTTGTCGCAGCAAGGAATCTTTTTGATGCATCTTTCTATCTTTCTCCTCTAAATTATTCTCCGTGCTTCTCTAATTCCCGCGTGGAGAAAGTCGTCAGTTAGGATAAGGAATTAAAGTTAATCCAGTAATTCACGCTGCCATTCTTGACAATGAAAATTACAAGCAACGATTTTTGCATTCACTGACTGAAAAAGAGAACGCCTAAAGATTAAATTGCTGTCAATTGACATTTCAAGTTCTGGATGGGAAAAGGATAAAATATCTTACATTAAAGCCCTTTGAATGGGGATGCAAAACGTCCCTATCTTAACTCTTTTAGTTATTTACCAGTTTTTAATATTTATATTATTTATTACAACATTTCTGTACACGGTTTAACGAAGGATTGTGTAAATGCAATTTTGTTCTTTTGGTTGTTGACTTAAGACTGGAGGTAAAGAACGTTTGAGTGGATGTATGTGTAATTCCTTCTTTGTCTTGTTTAGTTTTGTTTTGTTTTCAATGTAAAACGAGGGGCCTTGATCGAAAACAACATTGTCTCCATTACTCCGCTACTTCGCAACTTGTGAAGTGGGCTTAACACGGGAGCCAAATTGTATTTCAGCAATGGGTCCTGTTTCACATGAAACAGGTCTGTAATGGGTACCTGTGTCTCATGTAGTAACTCTGTCGTATTGCGCACGTAATTTCTGCTAAAAATAACAGGTCTGTAATGCACACATACCCTTGAAGAAGCGGCGTCCAAGTCACCCATGTCCATAAATGGGCCCGACATTTTTTTCTGAAAAAAAGCTATTTCTGTTCAGTTTGTCCAAGGACAAATGAGGCGGGGGATCGTCCTTTTGTTAAGCCAACCAAATAAACGATAGTTTTGCTATCGCGGGATCAACTGCCGCTACTCCACTGCGATAGGCTCCATTTATCAAAAAATTCCGAAGAGAAAGATGATTTGCCTCGGTCTGTTCTCCTGATGTCTGCGCTAATGTAAATTTAAACTTAGGAGTACATATTAATTTGAGGAAATAAAATTGCTATCGTCTTTGCTTACAACTTTAAGCCATGGTAGATATTATAACTTCCCATAATGGCCATGATTAATAGTTGGGTATCCCTGCGGCCGATATCGCAGTTGTTTTCAGAATACCCAGGGGTTCGCTAAGTTAAGACGGACCAACTAAGTTACTTGTGGGAAACGCCCTGAGAGAGAATTAAGGCTAAGAACAGAAAATAGGGAAAATATCTCCTAGGATGTCGTTGCTTGTTTCAGGCATTGTACGGAATTAATCAGGTCCCTCGGTGGTATTCAAGTAACAAGTTCTATCTTTACCGTTAACAACAAACTTGTGGAACCATTGTGAATTAATCACTTTCTAGCTTGCTACTTTGAACTCGCTATTTTAAAAATTGAATTAAAATTCGATGTTAATACTTACGGTTTATTATTTCTTGGTATTCGCAAATGAAGCGATACATAAACAATCTGTAACCAGCGGATGATGGTTCAAGCACAAATTAATTAAAATGTTGTTAAAACTGCAGTCTGTTTGTTAATTGAATTGCCTTTTATCAGTCTTCTTATCATTTTTTGCCTTCAGGGCGGCTTTCAGAATTCAAAGTGCTCTTTTTATATTAAGGATGGCAGTCGCGTTTTTCTTTCCATTTACTGAGAAACTCTTCAGTGACAACTTTGATGATTATTGCACAAAATAATTATTACTGATTAAAGTCAGAGAAAACGTGATGATCTCGAAAGATAAACTGATAATGAAACTTGCCTCCGTCTGATATCAAACCCTAAGAATGCCAATTTTCATTATTGATAAGGATATTGCACAGTGTCGCGTGCTTAGATTTCTTTACTGAACGGTGGACAACATGCACAAACATTAATTGAAAACAAAGTGTACATGTTACACTTGCCTGTTATGTTTAAGCGTCAGATTTTATTCCTGCATCAGTTGCTGTTAGCTTGTGTAAAATGGAAAGTAATGCGCTGTAAAAGCGAGGCACTCTCTTGAAGCTACTATCTGTTCATTTGGTGCTACACCATTTACCCAATGAAGAGCTAACTTCTATGTGAAGCTTTATTCAACGCATTTTTTTTTTGTCATCAATCTAGAGCAAAGGTGACTCCAAGTCAACCTAAAAAGACTTCAACTAAGACCACACAAAAACCAGCAAAGCATTGCTTTTGCTTGCGTACGTGAGAGAAATCAAACGATTGTCGGCAAATCGAACTTCGGTGAAATCATCAAGAGCAAGCTACTTAGAGGCGTCTGATAAGACTCTGGCGTTTGGCGGAAAATATACTGAGTCTAGCTGTTTTTACAGACTTCTTATACCGCGAGTCACGCCCTTGTTTACCAAGAATTTGGTTAAATACGAGCATTTCGTGCCTACGTTAAGGACTTTAAAGTGGAGTTCAGTGACAAAAGAAAACAGGCTGATTCATTATCAAAAGGGAATTCGCAACTTTTACGAGGGACTTGTAAGACCGCGCAAGATGTAACAAATCAATAGAGTTATATTCTACGCTGACTGAATGGTTCATTTTAATTGTCGCTGTGTCAATAATTTATCACCACTTTGTACTTTATTTCATCCTTCTTTTCACAAGAACACTACTCCATAAAATCGATGAAAAAATGTTTCAATACTTCTGGTGTATTTTCAGACGTTCTGTCTTTACTTTTTACTTTTTCATTTTGGTTCCTTAGATTGTTCACGTAACTGTCTGGTTTGCTTTACTAGTTTGGCCCGCTATATTGTCATCTCCGAAAACGAAGCAATAATAAAATGAACAATATAAATTTACCAGCCTTTTATCGTTATTTGCAACGAACTTTCACGCAGACATGTCCCTACACAGTCATAAGCAGCCTTCAAACAGTCCTCTCTCCGCAGTGTCTGCTTGCACTCGTGGTACTTCGCGTTGCATGAGCGACAACAAAAGAAGAAACAGCCAGCTAGGTATGGTTCTTTGTCGATGTCGATTCTTCCACTTTCTTTGCAGAAAAGTGGGTGGTTTTCAATCCAGACTAGTCTCTGCGAAAAAGGTGTTTCATAAAAATGCATTAATTAAGGAAAAATGAAATCGAAAAATATGTGTAAGTATGCAGAAACGTGTCCAACGCAGTTAACTGCTCGAATATTATCAGAATAATCGTGGTAATATAAAACTTTCGAAATCGTACCTGAAGTTCTGTGCTGTTAGGATCGGGACAATAGTCTCTACAGTCGCATGAATTGACGTCTTGCAATTTTATATCGGTTTTTGCTTTCAGACTTTTTTTAACCTTTACTTTTAAGTTCTCCTCTTCAGTATTTTGATCAGACAGTGTTAAAGTTTCCTGCGCGTGTCTACTTGCAACAAAGTGAAGAAGTACGAGAAAAATCCAAAAACATACAGATGACCAGTGTCTTTTGAGGCACATTTCCATCTTATTTTAGTTGTTCTTTCAGATCCGAATTTGCACTTTTACAGTACATAACTAAAACATTAACAACATTTACCACGACTACAAAAGTTAAGATGGCGATTGTACAACGGTTGAGTGCACCAATATCTTAAGGTTATCATGTAAAAACTGATAATTAATTCTAAATGCGTTATAAATGTTGCACCTCGCTTCTCAGCGCGATACAAGATAAGGGGGCACGAACAACGCTACAAAGATATTATAATTTTTAACCTGTTAATTTCATACATCAGTATATGCCAACAAATGTTTCTGTGCTCTAAAAAATACTTTCGTGCAGCAAAGATCCAATTTGCTGTTTACTTCGCGAATAAAACCCAGTGAAGTGCAACAGAAAGCCGCTACAATGCCATTGGTAATCAGTGGATTATTCTACACTAATGCTTTTGCAAGAAAGCGCAATTCATATTTGCTGGACTAATCTTGTGAGATTTTAATTAAACCGCTGAACGAAATTGCGCGATTATTTTTCTCATACTGAGAGATTTTTCACAGTAATAAATCTTCATGATATTCACGTCAAAATGTTAACTAACAAACATCCAGCCAAACTCAGCGAACTGCAGCTAGCGACCACTACTCCGAATTAGTCTTAATTTCATTTTTCTTTGAAAAAAAGCTCATGTTATACAGATAAGTGCAGTGATTATGCATTCACAAGCCTGTATTTTGTGTGTTTCGAGCCCGGGTAGGGAACTATATATCTTGGATGTCGTTTCTGGCTTTCCGCCATGCAGTTTAAATATTTGCCACGGCTTATAAGCTAATATCAGTGCTTGCTGTTTTCCAGCAGTCTAGGTTTTTTTCGTTTTTTTAGCAAAGTTCAGCACCCTGAATTTGCTTGACTAGCTTAACAGTGGCACTCCGTTAGAATTAATGAACACTTCAGGAATTCCAAGCTCGAAATATAATATCAATTGTTTTCACTAACTCTCATTCATTTATTTATTCTTAGTTCTGAGCAGTTTGGTGGCACATCGGGACCATCCAATCAGTGATTGATGATTTTGCTTATTCCCATAACTCTTCGTCTCAACGAGGTATCGATATTGTTAGGAGAAATTACACTTCAATCTCTCTTGAAGGTCATAAATCATTTATTTTCTACCGTCCAGGAGTAATCTTTAAAGGATTAATCTATGATGACAAGAGAAAATGAGAATCATGGTCTCTTGATGATGAGGTGCATTTTTCATTTTTCTCACTCTTCACTCTTTGTCCGCAATCAAGCTATTGGCGTAAGAGAAACTTTCCTCAAAAGTACTAGCATTCCGTGTTTTCCATAAGCCATGGCAATATTGCGTTCGGTTGGAAAAATATTGAAGCACCGATTTTTGAGTTAATTAAACCCTCCTTTTCAAATTTTTCGAGATGAAGACTTAATTTAAACTCTACTTTTTCGCACTTCTAGAGATAAAACGAAATTTGAATCAAGACAAAATAGATAAAGACAATTTTTTTGACAACCAGTAACAGATATTGATGTAAGAGCTGAAGTGATCAAGTTAATTAGAACAGAGAAAATTGCGGTTCATTTCAAATGGATTTATTTGTCTTTAGCAACAAACGTACATCTCTCAACAAAGCAGATCGATTAATTAATTTTCAAAAGCTTAAAGTACTCAACATTACACGAAAAAGTTGTAGGAAACAAGAAAACGTACGCTCGTGTTTACAAATTCAATTTCATCACCGGATATGCAAGTAAACTATATATGTCGATGCACAGTCCCCGTCCCGAGTCCAGTCCACCCTCTAGCTTGCCGGTCTCGGTTTGTAAGGAAGTTCCTGGAATGATTTATTGTCGATGCAATCACACATGCATTTGTATGCGCCTCGCATGCAGAACCCATAGGTGTTATCCGGCATTTTCAGGCAAGTGTAAAACACATGGTTGCAGCTTCGGCAGCAATCGAACACTTGCTTACAGATATACGATTTCTGAGGTTTGTTCTCATCTTTTGGTGGCAGCAAGATGGCGGACGCATCACGACACAACACCGGGAAGTTCTCGTAGCTCAGATATTTGTCTACGTCCTGGTAGAAAGAAAAGGATACATTGTGCCTGTTACATGAAATAGCTTCTCCTCAAATGCGCGAAAATTCCTATACATTATTTCTCCCATTGGTGGAAACAGGAAAGAATATACAAAATGGATTTGTTGGTTTTTTTTTTTTTTAGCTTAAACGTTTCTGCCCTGCTAACTATCGAGATTAATTGTTTTTTTACAATGTTCTCTTGATAATACTAATAACCTCATGAGATTTTCATGAGATCAGTTTCATTTATTAAAGTTTGGTTAACTCGTATTCTCTCGTTCAGTGCATTCAAAAAAAAAAACAGAGAGACGAAACATACTGAATTAAAAATAGCTTATTGAAATCTCTGCAAAATTTATTCTTTCAAGACTAGTACTCACCCGAACATTATGAGGCAGTCTGGTGACATGAAGGTTGTCACACTCCGCATCACAGTCACAGGTGTCATTGCCACTGCCGGCGTCTTCTTGCACCAATGGATCGATGAGTCTCTCCTGCAGTGCTTCATCTCGCGTCCCCTCTAAGGCTTCTAACGCCTCGTCCTCGTAAATATTTTCAAGATCATCTAGCATTCTAGATCTGTAGCCTCGTGCGGCCGTGACCGCTGCAGCGAAAAAGAAAATCAAGTGCAATTTCATGTTGGTACTGAGACGACCTGCACTACTGAGAACGTAACGCTGTTTGGAAAAGCACTGCTACGTATAGTACTGAATGAGATTGGGTGTGTTCAAAGCTTTTATACCAGGCCAGCTACAAGCAAAATGATCGAGCTGTTTGTAACTTGTTTTTGATTCGTTGTTGAAAACGTCAATATTAGCATTCAACACATAATATCAGTTGAAACAATGAAGCTAAAAATATTCTCACGTATGTTGCCTTTGATTGAACGCTTTGATAACTTTTTAAAATGTTTTTACTTTATTCATATTTTTTGAAAGGAAAAAGTTTACCACGTTTCCATTGCAATCTCTCTAAAAGTCAAACTCGTGAAGATTAGGCCATTGAGTTTTGGGATAAATAAAAACAAAGCTTTCCTGTATCAGTATTTTCCTGTTTGACTTTTTTACGTGACTTTCTTGCATTAATTTCCTATTTTTTCTGTTTCGTCTCAAGCACTAACTTATATTCGACGCCAAAATTGGCGGTTCGCTAAACACTTTAATCGTAATTTTAAATTTGTAGCAAAGTTAAATTTAAATACACGACCCCACAAGCTTTCAGCTTTAATTATTATCGTGTTTAAATAAAGTTTATCTATCTATCTATCTATCTATCTATCTATCTATCTATCTATCTGACCGTTGCATGAACGTTTTTCGACGAACGCGACAGGAAATCGATATATTAGTTGAGACAGAAACCTCTTAAGAGAAGTTAAAGGGCAGCATTTTTGTTTTCAAGAGCTTGTACATGAATGTTATCTGGGCATCAATGGGCACATATATACCTCGAATAAACATCAAAAAAAAAAAAAAAATCGTGGACAGCGCTTATCAATTTCGTCTATGTTGTCAATACTTATCGTTTGGAAGAAAAGATCTCTTCTGCTGGAACATGACTGGAATATTACTGCCAGCCAAATAAAATGACTGCCTAGCTGTAATACTTGGACAAAGATTTGTTTAAAGTGATTTCCTTTGCCACTTAGCTGACATTATATATCCAGGGAATGTTTATTTGGTTCACAATAATAAGATTTTGATTCCTTTATTCGCTTCCCAATTTGTAGCAAATAATGCGTGACTTTCTAATTACAAAGTTCGCGGAAATTTCAGTACTTTTCGATTTTGAGTGGGTTTTCTAAGGCTGACCCGGCAGTGAGCTTGACAGTCGTAAGAGTGGTTTCGCTTAATACTCTTTCGACAGTTATTCATTTTTTTAGTGGCTCCTTACTTGCTATCGGCATGCTAATAAGGAACTGTAGAACTGTTGGGAAACTGGGCTACAGGATAGGAAAGTAGCCGTATATTTTCAGCTGGAAAATAATTCATTTCTCAAAATGGCTGCGTTTCGTATTTATCCTCTTCGATACATAGCAAAACACACGCAAAATAACTCAGACTCCATTTTCATTTCACTGATACTTTTATTTCACATCAGTTAACAATTTGTAGCAATGCAAGTGTGTAAGCTTTGTGAGATACAACTAGATAGCACAAAAATGCAGAAAAAATGTACCGCCATTCACGTATTTGTGTATATCCGCGGCGGCGTAAAGTGTTTTTTTACCGTAAAGAGTTTATCGAGCAGTAAATTGTACAGAGTTCCTCACAGCTGTCGGTAGTACATCAAGGGAAGGGAGGGATTTCTGGTGGAGTGTGCTTGTCCAAGCAATGACACATGCACTTGTACGATTCACGGTAACAGAATTCTGGGCCTCCGTTCAGAAGTCCAACTCGGAGCATGCATTTGGCGTACACAGCATTACAATTCCTACAGCAGTCAAACAGGTAAAGCTGAAGAAAGTGGCATCTGTACAGTGGAGTCTTGTTAAAGACAACTGTTGAGGCCAGCACGCAGTTAATGGGCATTGCTTCAAATTTGTGGAAGCTTTCGTTTTTCTGTAGAATGAAAAAAGAAGAACGATACGAGGTCAGTGACGTGCAACATCATCTATGCTGACACTTTCTATGGTGCTACAGCTTTGGTCCGAGTTATGAAGTTTACAAAAAGGTGTGGCACTTACACGAAAAATATCGAGATTCAATTCAGTAGCGGTTAAGTAAAATAAATGCGTGTTGAAAAAACCGAAATAGTAGAACAATGATATTTACCGTTAGAAAATCTGGCACTTGCAACTTTTTGCATTCTGGCTCACAATGAGCTAAGCACTTGGTGGAATCGTCGTTCAATGGAGCGGGTGCCCTGTAAGACTCATCCTCGCGGAGTTGCAAGCTGGTTATTGCTGGCAGAAGTGGTCTGTGCTCTGGACGGAAGAAGCGTTTAACATGTTCTTCAGTGCTAAACGCATTCACCAAAACAATGGCGAGCGAAAAGGTTACAAGAAAACTGCAGGTCTTCATACTGCTATATAGTCCGCTTGTTTGAAAAATAAGCACAAAAATTACACCGATGAAGTATTGCTCTTCTGCAAGCTTCCCTCGACTGAGATAACAATGTTATTTAAGCGATCTTTTATACCACTACGAGATAAACTACGCACCCTTTTGAATTGATTTGAGTATTCGACCTCATTCGTCATGAGTGGGTTTCCACTGATACGTGACATGACGTTGTCGTGACAACCTCAGCTAAGGACCTATACCTATTGCTCTACAATAGTAAAAAAAGGCTCCAAAAAACAAGATAAGATTCGAAGGCAATATAAGGTCGTTTTTATCAGACTCATCAGTAACCAATCAATTTTGAAATTGTTTAATTTCAACTTTCACTTTCTTAATCCGCCTCATTTTATTGTTTGGATAATTTTGGTCTGTCTATATTTTCGCTAGTTATGGTTGCACCTGAAAATGTCATATCGGCTCGCCATTCAATGAAGCATGAATAGTTGAATTTTTTTTCAAAAGGAAATTGTTGAGGTCACTTGTGATCAAACAGGAAAATTTCTTTCGTACAATATTCAGTACAAGAACACCTAGTAATTATTGAGTTTATAACGAGTCTATTAAAGATTTGCTCCGTGTTTGATAGCGTGTCAACAGAGCAAAGCCACAATATTCAAATACGCGTTTGGAACTGACTCTTTCAGCTGCCCCGCCCTGAAATTAGAAACTGCACACGGGTTATATTGGGGCAGGCCGCCGGATTAAGTTACAAGATCACGTGAAACAATCTTTATACTGGCTATCTTTATGCATCAACGAGCTTGAAATGCTGTTTTCCTGCATTCTAGGCACGTAATAGATAAAGGTATGAAAGATTTACCGACTGTTCAGGTGTCTCACCTACAGCGTAGATGGAGCCGACAGTGAAACAGTGTCTGCAATAACATCAGCTTAATCTGAAGGAAAAAGGACTTCAAAACCGTTATATTAGTTGAAAAATGTTGCTTTAAGGTTCCAATAAGCATGTGAGCACCCTCTCGGTCTTGATATTGGAACCTATAGACAGGCAAACACTACGTGCCATATATCGGGCTTTGTAGCGATGTTTCTGTAGATATTATCACTATTTCAACAATGCGAGGAGCTCAGTTTTCTTTAAAAATACAAATGTATTTGCTTGTAAGATATTGTCCGCAAATTTCGTTCTTTTTTCTTTGTGATGCCGTTTGGTCCTATACAAGTGAATTTAAAATGTCAAGATGGTTTGTAACCCATCTTCGCGGCCAAAACAACAATGTATCATTTGTATGGATTTTCAAATAAATGTAAATAAATAAATGTTTTTGTGAAAGATTTTGTTTGCAATGATCTTCTTGGTCTTGTGTTTCCTTCTGATCTGCTTTATATATTGTTCTAGGGTTGAAAACAAAAAACAAAAAAAACCAGCAGTAAGAACAAAAGCAACAACTTCCAATATCGTGATACATAAGAAACTGAGATATGTCTCTGAGCAGTGTCCTAAGAAAGATGTTTATCCAGAGTGGCTCAGGAAAACTTGGTTGTTGGCAAGCACATAGGTCACTTCACGCCTTCATTCAACTTACTGCTTTGGGCAGTTATTTTACAAACATATACTGTAATGATTTTTCCACTCTTCCCTCATTTTTTTGGATTTAGCCAAAGAGTATAATTTCGTCTTATTGAAGCTATGTATTAATGTTCTTCGAGTGAGAGTAGACCTCTTTGGTTGTAGAGCCACTTTATGACTGCTACACAACGAAACTAACTTAAAACGTGGCATGTCGCTGAGACATACATTGAAGGCTCTTTTCTTACAACCTTGTTCCAAGGCTTTCTCTCTTCGTTGTGAACGAGGTTGTCGAAGATGGCGGACGGACTTTCGTAACGAAATAGAAGTCATAGATCTAGAATGAGGATTGTGGCACGAGCTTGGGCAACGTATCAACAGCTGCTCATAACGCACCCCTGGAAAACTCAAACTATTGGAACAGGTAAGATAGAAAAATCAAACAAGTTGAATGAAACGGCGAAAACAAAAAAAAAAAACATAAACACCACCAAATGCGGAAATTATATATGACGAATGAGGTTAATATTTTCCAAGCCCGCTCATCCGCCCCCCTTCACACCGAACATTTGACAAGTTGCTCGCAGAGGGCTGCCCGGGAGCGGGTCATTTGACAATTTAGCCAAATATAAAGGATTATAAATCGGTACTTTTTTAAAACGAAAGCCTGGTTTTTTAGTGACCCTACCGAAAGAACGTTTTGACGCTATCCCATGGGTGGGGCATTTGCGCTTTTCTCATGACCCCATCGAAGGGGAATTTTGCACGTACCAGCTGCCCCATGGTGGGAATTTGCCACCTTCTAAAAACAAAATGTCAAATGCCCAGGGTGGGGGAGGGGAGATGAGCGGGCTTTGAATTGACGGAGCCATATGCTCATCTAATTTATTGTTTCACTGATGAAATTCATGGAGTGGCTTCAGATATGTCTGCTGTGCAAATGTGCAAGCTATCTGTATAGTTAAGCTTTCACAGTTCACAATGGGAAAAGCTTACACATAATTTGTAGGTGTGCTGAAGAGCCTCAGTTCAGACCACCAACACTACATGTACCTTGATGGCTAAAATTATTGGCATTCTGCCCTAGACTCTACAAGTGATACCAAAATCGGCAATTTACATCCCTGCTGAGAAAGACAAGCTTCTTACATAAATGTTGCCATTAGTGCGCTGCTTTGCCTGTCAAACATTTAACTTGGTCCTGACGATCAAAATTCATAACCACTCTCTGAGCCCTAATAGACATCTTAATGTTAAATTATGGTAAACTACTTGGACCCAAATTTTTTAATCATGAAGCTCTGTGACTTAAATATTCCCTTCTTTTATTTTTCTTTTGTTTTCTTCATGTTTTTGAGGTGTTCTTGTTGCCGCTGGAGATGTTGTCACTCAGCAGTTTGTTGAGCGGAAAGGTCTCAAACATGACTTTTTCAGAACAGCTCGCATGGGGGTTGTGGGTCTGATAATTGGGCCTGTACTAAGAACATGGTACCTGACACTTGACAGAATTGTGCCTGGAGCAGCAAAGACTGCCGGCTTCAAGAAGATGCTTCTAGACCAAAGCCTTTTTGCTCCAGTTATGATTTGTTTCTTCTTTGGGATAACAGAGACTCTGGCTGGTAAAAGGCTGTGTGATATTAAGGAGATGCTCCAGGAACGCTATGCAGATGCCCTGATTACCAATTATAAAATATGGCCTCTTGCTCAAACACTGAATTTTACATTTGTTCCGATTCAGCACCGTGTGGGATTTGTCCAGATAGTGGCAATATTTTGGAATGCATATATGTCATGGATGACTAACAAGCCATTGCCCGAGCCTACATTGAACAGTGTAAACTCCATCCAGTAAAACAGGCTTTAAGTCACTTCACTCACACTTCACTCAGTGTGACTCCACAGCATTGAAGAGATTATATTCCATGTAAGTGGCTCGTCTACAGTGTTACAACTGGTTTTCCTGTCTTGCCTTTCACCACTCATTTTGCTGTATATTGCCTTTTCAAAAATTTGTGTTCCTCAAAAAGTAAAATTCCTTTTGGATGTTGCTGTTTGCCATAATTTTTTAAAATCTTTTTGGGGTTAATGCATAATGCCAAAAAACAAATTAATATATTAAAATTACAAGAATTATTGGGTGCTCACAACAACCTATAGAATAGTAAACATTAGTATCAGAGTACTTTTTTACTGCATTGGTCTGAAGCAAAATGGACAGTTAATGATAACATAAATAAACCTCTTTAATATGGATCTGTTCGTTGAATTTAAAACCTGTGCGAAATAAGGGAATTTTGTCTTAGAACTGTAGATATCTCCCAACCGTTATAGATATATCTAACCTTACAATTACAACAATAATTTCAAATTTTGTATCTACATCTCCAGGGTTGTAGCTAAGAAAATAGTCTCCTGGCTAAGATATTCAGTGAGCTGGTCACCATTTTTTGCGAGAGACCTGGAACAAAATTTTCATCCCCAATCTTTTGCAACACCTTGAATGCGGGGCTACCAAGCTTCATGTTTACAAGATGGCAGACACAGCACACAGAAAGATAACACGCTAAACAAGTGCTCAAAACAAAATTTTGTTTCAATTACTTTACTTGTTATAGTGGCACCAATACTCAAGGTAGACAGGAATTTATTCCAAACTTTTCATTTAGACAGTTTGGTATGGTTCAGATATCGAATGACTGTACGTGCATAACCTAAAAACTGTTCGTCGTTCTTTACCATGATTGCCCACCAAAATCCAGCTGGCAATCACTTCTTTCTCAGCCGGCGAATTGACTGGCAGCCAGCGCTTAGTGACAACCCTGCATCTAATGGTGAGGTTTTGTGGTTGACAACTAGGGATGTCACTCTTACCTATTCCAAAGCTAAATTTGGCAAGCAGATGAGATGCGCGTTATGTGTTTGCCTGAACAGAACCACATGCTTGTTATTTGCCAATGTTGGTTGAATTCATCATTCCATCAGTTAATAAGAGAAGGGCATTTTTGATAGCAGCTGAGAGTGAGCTTCCTGGGGCAGATACAGAATTTTAAAAACGGGAGTTTGAGATATTGACTGCCAATGGAATTTCTGGCATTATGAGGCCAAGTCAACAAGTCATAATGTCTCACTTTTTTTTAATTTAGGGGGTTTGTCTGACCCCTTCCCCCCCTGAAACCCCCCCAACTAGATCCACCCAGGCTTCAAATTGTAAAAATATCATTACACACCCTTTTTTTTTCAGAAATACATTTTATTATGGGTTAAAGTAATGTCTTGTACATAACTCCTACTCTAGACAAGGCATAATTAAATTTCTTTCAATTTTCAATTAATCAGTTAGTTTTGTCAACTGGGAGAAGCTTTCTCTGGTTCATCCATTCATTGAATGTTCCAGCTGAAGTGTTAAGAATCTTGACAAGGAGAAACTAAAACAAAAATCAAAGAAAATAAATTGCTAATGAGTTCAATTGGCTATAAGAAGTCTGAAAACCTAGTTGTCTGCATGCATTGCTGACCTATGATTATAGGTGCTTTGAGAGCCTATAATACCAACTTCCGGTCAATTGCAGGTTACCTCCAAGTGCTTTGGGAAGTTGTCCCTTCTGCTCCCCACCCCTTTCTCTCCCCCCC